TCAATTACTGATAGTCTTGATGCTTTTTCAACATCGCTGAGCACTACAGGTTCTTACCACACCAGTCTTCTTTACAGACTCTCCCTTTGTCTTCATTTGCCCATTTTTAGTTGCTTCTTTTTCCTTTATGCTTTTTGTTCTTTGAGTTCTCATTCAGAGTTGTGGCTTCGACTTATATTTATACTGAATTCACAATTCCAGTATTAATTTAACTTTACTTTGCCTACTGTTCATCATCCACACAGAGTTGTCACATTGCTGATTTGAACTCAGCGTAACCCAGGTAATATATTTTTCTTTGATTAAATAATCGGTTTTATTTTCTTCATTCCTGACCTGTTATTTAATTGCTCAGGAAGAAAAATTTATTGAGAGCTTCAAATATTTTTTATTTCCACTGTGCTGAGCATCTGTTGTTTTAACCTTCCCCGTATGAGTTTTTTTTCTTCTAGAAAATAATACTTCATTCATTCCATGTCAGTCATGATACTCTGCATTCTCTCTTCAGAGGACTGGCCTGGTCTACACCGGGCAATTAAAATACGTGGATAATGGGAAATAGAAGGCTTTTGTTCTTTGAGGTTACGCTGGAGGATGTATATCCATGAAGCAGAAAGTCTAGTTGGCAGAATATTGTCAATATAGAAATGTAATTGGGATAACTTAGCAAAGTCACACAGACTTGAACTCTTGAGTCTCAGCCAAAATCATATAAGAATTAGATTTTCAGGTTTCTGACTAAATACATTCTGCTATCTATTTAGTACCAGAATCAAACCCAGGGATCACACATGCAAGGCATGACCACATAGTCCTATCCCCAAGCCAATTCTGCTTCTTTGTAAGTTAGTTTACTTTGGATTTCATCACTTGCTGAAGAGCCATAACAGTCACTACATTCTATTGATTTTTATATTAAATGTCTTACATACACTTTTTTCTTCTCTCATTGTTTTTGTATAATTCAATAATTCTAGAAAACATCCTGTTATAACAGCTAGTTTATAGATCAGCTTGCTTCTAAATTATTCTTCCAATTTTAAGTAAATCCTCACTTAGGATCATCGTTTCTTGGAAAAGGCAATTTTAAGCAAACAAACAAACAAACAAACAAACAAAAACCCTATGGAATTCAAGTCCCAGAACATTATTTTGTTAAACTTAGGCTGGGATTATTTTTTCTTGTGAATTCTGTCATTCTTATAACATTATTCTAATCCATTACAATATTATAAAAAAAAAGAATAAGGAAATGTTGAGGACCCATGGTTTCCATCACACTGCTCATAATAGCTTGCTTATTAATAAAATGTGGAATCTGATTACTCTTTTCTCAAATATCTTCATGGCTCTCGATTGCATAGAGAACAGAGTCCACATTTCTTAAATATGTTGGAAGATTTTTTTAGAATGATGAGTATGATCTAGTTAGACTACCACTTGCTTATTTACTCACCTTGTTCAGAAATATATATCAACATCTACTATGTGTCAGACATCACTCAGGAAAACCAGAGTGATGACGAAACAGCTTACATGCTAGCAAGGATTACAACTTCTTTCCGCAATTGTCATGTTGTTCTTTGTTCTCAATAATCTTTCCAAATCCAATGCTTAATTCTCTGTGGGGTTGTTGACTTAACAACACTTCCCTTTATGCTTCCCCAGTGATTTGCTTGTATTTATTCAACAGAACATATTTGATTTGTCTATTTTACATACTTGTCCATCTTCTTTATACAAAAACTTCTGAGTCAGGAAGCAAATTTAATTTTTCATTGTATCTCCAAAATGCTTTGTTGCAACACACAAAAGGACTTTAATTTTATACATTCATATTTAATTGTTAAAGGATTGATAAGCATAAGTGCTGGAAAACACTAAATGTTACTAGGAATGGGACGCATGGTGGCATCTATTGAGTATCTATTATATAACTTTCTTTAGGTGCTTTTCATAGATGATTCAATTTAATCCATATAATTTCGCAGTCTGGGAAATGTAGGCAAGGAGAGTTTTACATTAAGGTCATAGTAATGGCTACACCAGAAAATCAACCCAATTTTCTGTCACTAAGGTTTAAATCCTTTTTATTTTACTACACATTCTTGCTTGTCTCTATACTATCAGGGATATGATTTTAATTTAGTGGGACAGATACACCTCTGTCAAAGTTGTACTTCAATAGTGAAAGCTGAAATTTAATGACAGATTTTTGCCCTATCTGTTTAGTGGTAGGGGATATTATAACCAGATGCTTTATAAATTTGGGTACTATTTTTTTGGTCTATGGGTACTGTCAATACTCTTATAGTACAACACTGAAATAAGGATTTAGTCATAGTTTTTTTTTTTTTTAAAAAAAACTAGTAAAAGGGCCAGGGTGATAGTACAGCATTTGCCTTGCACAAGGCCAAACCAGGTTCAATCACCAGTATCCCATAAGGTTGCCCAATGCCAGGAGTGATTCCTGAGGGCAGAGCCAGGAGTAACCCCTGTGGCCCAAAACAAAAAACAAAACAACATCTGCAATAGTAAAATCAGAACAACTGAAGTTCATAGTTTTTTGAGAGTACCTTACAATATTAAGAAAGGAAAATAAGTTGTTGGTTCTGTTCCCAGCTTTGTTTTCTCCTTTTCCTGTTAATGTTTTCAGTTTATATCCAAGTTCCTATATAAGACAGGGTACACTTCTACTCTGAGAGCATAATATTGTTCATTTTGAACAATCTATTTAAGCAGTCAATTATCTAAGTGGCTCTCTCTGCAAACGAATACTCTAAAAAGATTAATGCTTCAGATAACAAATTTGTTGTTGAACAAGGCAATTAAAATCATGCCCAACCTAGAAACTTTGTACTGTACTAGACGATTTGAACAATTATCATATTTGTAATTTATTAACTATGAAATTACTTCCTCCTTTTTGGAAGTATTATTCTGACCTTTGCCTGATATCTAATTTAGGACATATGAAAAAAATGGTGAAATATTTGGCTTGGTGAATTACTAGTTATTCAAAATAATCATAATCTTGGGTCAGGGACAGCAAGTAAAGCACTTGCCTTGCATACAGCTGACTCCAATTCAATCCCTGCCACCACATATGATCCCAAACACTGCCAGGAGTAAAGCCTCATCACAAAGCCCTAGGCACTGCTGGGTCTGACCAAAAGATTAGACAAAAGCCAAAGCAAGCTGTAATAATTTTGTGATGCAGATATAAAGCATAAACTTATTTTTTAAAGCTAACTTTCATAAGGACTGAGATTACATTAGTCTCAGACAGTGGTGGCGCACTTTTTTTTTTTTTTTTGGTTTTGTGGAACCAGATACAGAACTCAGGGATTCATGCATACAAGGCATGAGACTTAGACTGAGTCATATTTCCTGCCCAAAGCAATTTCATGTCCTCCGTATACATTTGCTATTGTAGTTGTTGAATGCTGAAAGACCTAGGGATTGGACCTATGGTATTATCACTGGAGGCCTTCAACCTGCAAGGATCGTCCTCTACCACTACTAGCCAGCCTGACCCCTGGGCATATAATTTTAAACTCTGCCACTTTACCATTTGAGTGACCTTGACCTAGTTACTTCACTTCTTTGAACTTTGTCTTATTTGTAAAATGAAGCTAACATAATATCTCACTTATTGTGAAATTTCGATAAAAACATGGCCCGTTAAGATGTTTTTATAAGGTACTAGGAAAATGTAAAGGTGATTCTTTTCAAAGTAACTACCAGCATTATAATTTTCCTTACTACACATGGATTGAATGATTTCTATTTGTCTACTTGAATGCGGTTTACAGGATACAAATGTTTCTCAAATTAATTTAATACTCTTGGCAATAAGAAAAAAGCAGGAAGAGACTATTGATGAACTTCTACATTTGCAACTCTGTTTCTGTCAGTAATAAAAGATACTTTTAAAAACATTCAGAAAAGTTTCCTTGGCTTACTTCCAGGTCAACCATTAAACACAGTGCTTAGTGCCTTGAGACACAATAAAATTTATGTGGTGCCTGCCCCTTTGGAAGTTAGCTTCTACTTGAGATCTGAAATAAATGCACAGTTCAAGGGAACATGCAACCCAAAAAAGTGCCGCACGGATGACCCGATAAACTATTTGCAAACTCAGGTGCTCTGGGACATATAGTAATAAAAACGCAACCACGGATTGGTAGTATTTTTTTTTTAATATTTTAACATCTATGTACAAAGCAACTGAATATGATGTTAACAACATTCAACATCAACGGACATTGGGCTACAACAGTAGCATTTCCCTTAATCTCCGCTCGATATGCCTGCGAAATCAATACTGCACAAATCAGTGCGGACCGCGTGGGTCACACCAAAGGGTGTGCGAGTTCAGCGTTAAGAACTCGGGCACCATGCGGCCGGCTCCTACCCGACGGCAAGGCCAGGCTGGAAAGCACGCGGGTCATCGGGCCGGATTCCCGCGACTGGTGCCGAACCAGGAACGACACCGGGGAGATCCCCTCGCGTGTGCGCGCCTACCCGACCGTGCAATTCTGTCCGGCCGGGGCAGGGGGCTGATGCGGCGTCGGCACGAGAATCCGCCGAAAGCGGGGCACACGGGGCACCGCGAGCCCCCGGCCCGGGTCTCTCGCCGCCCAGGTCAAGAGCACCGGGCAGAGATGACGGGATCCGACACGCTGACGCTTCCCAGGTCTCCTCCCCCGCTCTCGGGGACCCCTCGGCGAGCGCCGGCCCAGCAACCGCGCCCGGATTCTGCGGGAGACCATTCCAAGAAGCGCTGCCCGCCACGCCGGCCCGCAGCGCCCGCCCCGCATCCCCCGGGCTCGGCCCCCCGGGGTCGGAGCCCGGCCAGCCGGGCCGACTCGTCACTTCCGGCGCGCGCGCTCCCGCCCGGAGCGGGAGGCTCGGCCCGCACGCGCCCGCCCGCCCGTCCGTCCGCTCGCTCAGAGGGACCCGGCCGGCGCGCGCGCCCGTCCCCGGAGGCGCGCAGGGAGGGCGGGGCGCGGGAAGGGGGAGTGTCTGCCCGCCGCTGCCACCGCCGCCGCCTCCGCTCTCCCGCTGCCGCTGCTGCCGCCGGGGCTGAGGAGTTCGCCCCAGCCCTGCCCTCCGAGCCGGCCTGCGCTTCCCGCCCGGACGGAGGGCGCTCAGCCCCGCGCGAGTCGGGCAGGGACGCGGGAGTCGCCTCGGCCCGTGGAGCGGCGGGGACGGCCCCGGCACCCACCCCTACCCCCGCCCCCACCCCTTCTCCCCTCCCTGACCCCTTCTTTCCATCGCCCCAGTCATGGGGAACGCGGCGACCGCCAAGAAAGGCAGCGAGGTGGAGAGCGGTGAGTCAAGGCCGGGGTTGGGGATCGGCTGAGCGGGCCGGCGCGGGCCACCGAGCGCCACTCCAGGTCGCAGCCTCGAGGCCGCGGTTCACGGTCCAGGCCTCGCCGCGGCCGCCGGGAACCGCTCGCGGGGGGCCCTGGGGAGCGGCCGCCCGCCTCCAGCCGCTCCCCCGGCCTCCGGCGTGCGGGCTGAGCGCCCAGGGCTGGGGTGGGGTGGTCTGGGGGGGGGGGGGACAGCCTGGGGGATCGCGCTCCCCGGTCTGCCCCTTCTCCCAGGAGAGCAGGGTGGAGGGGTGGGGAGGAGACACTCATCCTGGAATACTCCCCCCCCCCCCCCAGCCGGGTCCCGATAAGGAAGTGCCCGGTAGCATCCCGGTCCTCGCTTCTCCGCTTCCCCCCCGCCGCACCCCCACTTGGGGAGCCACAGGTAGTGAGTGTGCTGCGCGCTCCCCTCCATCACCCGGGGCGCGCCCCAGCCTTTGCACTAGCCCGGGGGGGGGGGGGGTGGGGTGGGGTGCAGGTTTTAATCTCTGCACATGAGGTCAGTGCTGGGGAAACACAGCTGTGTTTTTAAGGGGCTCCCCCAGCTCTTCAGTTTAGGAATGAGAGAATAGAGGGAGATTTAAAGAGCAACTTTATTCATGGAGGGGAGCAAGGCATGTTTGCCTTTTCTTTTCTTTTTTTTTGAGCCGTTCAGGAATGTCAGTAAAACTTAAAGGTCATCTGGAACTGAAGTGCCAGAATTCGGGGGCTTTCTACTGACACCTGAAAGTGTCCCTCCACGCCCCCCCTCCCCTTAACTACCCCCCCTTAACTACCCCCCCCCCCCCTTTACACGAAACCGCGAATTACTACGGAAAATGGAATCTCTGTAACACACTTGGCGGTGTGTTCGTATGTATCAAAATTGGGTTTCCTTGCGCAGGTTCTCAGATCTTAGAGCTGAGCATGGTCTTGTAACAAGTGGTATTCATCTCTATCATACCAGGAATAAATGACACATCCTATCCCCTGGAGATATCTGAGTACCAGTTGATTGATTCAAGTTTGTGTAAATTGTATCATTGCTGTTTCTAGGACTATAACACGGTTTAAGATAATTTTGTAAAACTACCATGAGAAGCGGTTTTTCAGTGTCGATAATGCAGAAATTTGTCTAGAAGAATTTAGTCGTTCATTATGTTTAATATGAATAGTAAGATCAGGTTTTATGTTTTGTTTCACCAATAAAGTTTTGATGTTTTTTTCTTTTGGAGTTCCTGGAAAAGTTGATGTACCATCATAGAAATTATCTTTTACAAGTTTTCAGTACTTTTGTATGTAATTAAAAAAAATTGAATAAGCCAATGTAGAGTTAGAACTTCTGTCATCTAAAAGTTTTAAATTGGAAAAAACAAACATGCAGTGACTGACTATACAGAACATATAAAGAATGAGGAAAGTGCGAAGAAATATTGATCCCCGATAAATTGTCATTTTTCTCTTTTAGGTCTAAACGTTGTTTGCTAATTGTATTATAATCGAGTGCTTGCTAATTGAATTAGTGGTTTCCATTGGCCTGTACAGTGCTTACATTTCTATTTAAGTTATTTTTTTTTATTTGGGGCCAAACCTGGTAGTGCTCGGGGACAATATGGGATGCTGGAGATGAAGCTGGAAAGGGTGGTTGCTTGCCTTGTATGCTGTACTATCTCTCAGCCCCCTACAGTTTACTTTTTACTAAGATAGTAAACTCTCTGTGATGTATATATTTCTGTAAAGTTATGAAACCAATCCTTTTGTACGCAATATTAATTCAGAGTTCAAAGCTGTGGGATAATCTCGAAATAGAGAAATGGGATGGAAATTTTAAATGTTTATCTGAAAATTATTCTTGTCAATATAAGTTCCTTAAGTATGCAAGCCAGTTTTCAATGTAAGTTTAAAAACTGTAGTAATTTGAATAAATGTTGTGATATGATAAAAGAGCTAGGAATGTTTCATAGGAACCATTATTTAAAATATTCCTTTGATCTGTTTGTAATTTCACCTGGAGCAATATTATGCATACTGCTGTTGACCTAATGTAGTACATGAAGAAGATATTGCTATGTCTAAAATTTAATGGAAAAACAACTTCTACAAACTCTCCTGGCCCTGTGTGCTTTTTTATTGTTGTTTGAGCCCACGTGGTAGTTCTGGGCTATCCGGACTTACACTTTGGTGGTGCCTGGGAAACCACATGGTACTCAGGACTTGACCTGGTGCCTTGTGCATACTGGGCATTTGCTCCAGTCCCTTGAGCCATCTCTGATGCCCCTGCTCTGTGTACATTTAAAAATTATTTTCAAAAATAAATATCTTCAATAATCTGGATGCAGTTATTTAAGCTTCAGCTAATACATAGGCTAAAGAAAAATATTAAACTCTTGTTACTAAAAGTGTACTTACCCAGCCTCCCCCTTTTTTAAGCATTGGGGTCAAGCAGTGCTCAGGAGACCCTGAGGCCCTACAGGCAATTATCTGCTAACTACGGTTGAATATATGGGTCCTCAGTTCTTGGGCTCTGTGGTTCCAAGGATTGCCTAGGCCATTCCCATGATGCCCTGATACCTCTAGGGCTACCCCCAGGGAAGGGTTTTGACTGTTTCAGTGGGGAAAAAAAATTAAAACCCACGGGTGTGGAAGGACTTTATAGGTGTCAGGGCCTGTGCCTGGGGTGCTGATAGAGATTTGGGTATGCATTCTCCTTTGGCTGCAGCGATTTATATAATCGAGTTCTTGCTTGATGATCTTTTAATGCTTCCAGTATCTCTTTGCCTTCAGAACTTGAATCGAAATTAACCAAAGTTACCAATAGACTAGGTTCAACTAAAGTGCAGATTCCATAACAACATTTTTAAGGACTTACTATGTGCTAGGTTCTCTGAGCACTTTGCAAGCATAATCTCACTTATTCTTTTTTACCTCTACAAAGTAGTTATTGATCCATTCAACAGAAAAGGAAGTGAACAGCCAGAGAATCTAAACCACTTGCTTAAGTTTGCACATCTAGAAAGTCAGAGCAGCATTCATTCTTTGGCAGCCCAGTCCCAGAGCCTGAGATCCTGACAATCTCTCAATCAGTGGAAAAAAGGATTCTGAGACACAGAAATAGTTTGCTTTTGTTTCACTTTATTGTTAATATAGTAAGTTTTGATTGCGTTCAGTAGTGACTTTAGATACCATAAGTATCTTAACTGGAGAATTATTTTTCATGTATCATTTTCTGGGTTCAGTTTTCTCATTTATACAGAGTGGTTGAAAGATTGATTTCCTTTGGAAGTCCTTTCAAATTAAAACAAATGAAATTAAACTTATATACTTAAAATCCTTTACCATTTTTATTTCATTATTTTTCTTATCCTTAAATATATACTTCCCCTTCCCGATTAATAGACAATCAAAAAATTATCAGAATGTGCATTAGCATTTTAAAGGTTTTTAGAAGTTAGCATTTTGCCCTGGTTTAGAATAGTACTATCCAATCAATCAACTTTCTGTTGTGTTGGAAATGTTTCTATGTTGTCTAATGTGAAAGTCAGTGGCTGGACTGTGAATGTCGTTTGAGCGCTTGAAATGTGATTAGGTTAACTAAAGAACTGATTTCTTCTTTGTTCTGTTCTTGGTTTGGAGGGCACACCTTGTAATACACGTGTAGTATACCACCTTACATGCTTGGGAATCACTCCTTGTCATGCCCTGGGAACCAGACAGTGCTATTGATCAAAACCGGGCCTCCTGCATGCAAAGCTTGCATTTCAGTCAGTTCAGCTTTCTCTCTGGTCCAGACTGAAATTTTAACCTACATATAAACCTGTGGCTTCTTTATATAACTTACATTGTATTTGAACAGGTTTAGGACATAGCTTTCTTTGCATTTCATAAACCAATCTTTCAAAAGAAAATAAACGTATCTTTCTATGTTATCTCGATTATTTGTAGATCCTTACAGATGTGTATGTTTATGATCGAAATGCTGGATTTGTTTTATAATAGGAGTTTATTTCTTCAGCATATCTCTGAATAAGTACTTAAAAACTTAGTAAACAAATGGTCGTAGTCTGGTAATTTGTAAATGAATAAATTGTAAAATTAACTACCAAGTTAATTTGCTCATTGTACTTTAACAAAATTTAGACTTTATAGTTTTAAATATTATATATGGTGGTAAATTTGCTTTTATTGAAATTATTGTATATTTAAATTTGTAAATATTTTTTCATATTTTACTCATGTAAATGTTTTGTAATCAGAATTAAAATTTTTTATTAAAGTGTCAAATTATTGTTTAGGTAAAATGTTTATAATAGTTTTGACATTTTTGGTTTTGATATATAGTTTATCATGCCTTGCCACCACCAGAGTACCCAAGACCCTCAACCATTGTCCTTAGGTTACTTCTAATCCACCTCTAACCCCCACACCCCAGTGCCCCATGCTTGGTAATCTGAGTTTGTCATCCAAGGCCAGGAGTTTGTCATAACTCAATGCTGTCTACTGTCTATTCCCTTGTTTTGTTTCTCTATATTCCACAGATGAATGAGATCATCTGGTATTTGTCCTTCTCCCTCTGTCAGACTTTTTAAAAGAAAAATCAGCAGCACATATTTGTTCCAAATTGGTGGATTGGCAGAAGTACTTGGGGAATCTTTCTTAGAATAAAAAATACAGGAAAAGAAAAAAGAAAAATCAAAACAAGTAAAACACGTTTAGATGATAAATATATTACCAAGGTTCATTCTGTGATTAATTTTGTGCAAATTATCTACTATATCAAATCATCTCATGTTTAGGAATGATTTTCCTATTTTCCTGGTTCTCCACCTAGGGTATGGACAGATTGTTGCTTTTCATTCCTAGCAGCAGGATAATTAGAAACATGAAAGTCAGCTTAGATAAGTAAGCCAGGGATGAGTGGCAGAAGTAGCACAGGGGAAGATCTAGATAAGCCAGGATAGCTATTAGGGTCCTGTTAGATT